CGCAGTTGCCTAACCTTCAGTTACGAGAGACGATGAACGGAAGGTGTGAGGGACACGAGACTTCTAGGGGTTGTTAAATGCTGTTGTACTCTTTGTGACAATGCAAGAGGACAGAACCAGAGTAATGAGATAATGCAGTAGTAACAAGAACTTTAAAGGTGTTTGTGAGTGTGCTGTGGTGTGAAATAGAGAACATAAGAACATAAGAACATAAGAAATTTACAAACGAGAGGAGGCCATTCGGCCCATCAAGCTTGTTTGGGGAGAACTTAACTAATAGCTCAGAGTTGTTAAAATCTTATCTAGCTCTGAGAGCAATGTCCTCCTCTTATAATGTACCAACTGTGCAGTTTCTCCTGTGTGGTTTCCAGTTTCTGTTTTGGTGTGGCTGTCCTTTTTATCCCACTGTCAAATTATAAGTTTAGTGCTTATCATAAGCTAAGGGCTGGAATCCTGTACTGAAACTGGCTTGGTTTATTGTAATGCGGGCAATTAGGGTTTTATGTGTAATTCTAAGGAGATTTGTGCATTCCTGAAGACACTTAACAACACAGGGCTCGCTTTATTGCTTGTACTAAGGAATCTGCAGAAGTGCCTCACCCAAGTGTAATTTGGCAAATCTTCAATTTGGCCAATCAGCCAGGCGTCCATAGGGACTCCGGGAACGCTGTGTTTAATTCCTATTTTTTACGATACTTTTTGAATACATCTCCAGAAAGATCTTCCTGCTCAGAATAAAATCAGCTCTCCAACTGGTTATTTAGCCCATACTACTGACACTATTATGAGATGCTAAATTTTTTGCAAATTTGCTGAAATTTTCCTCAAGCCATCTTCAGTCAAACATCCTGCAGAAACCATCTTAAATTTTTTAAAGAGAGGCTTTTTAAAAGATATTCTTTTTCGCTCACCATGCTGCTAGCTCAGTTTTTGTAGGGGGATTACTGGCAGGTCAGCAAGCGCTTGTTCAAAAACTTCCAGAACAGAAGAGTGATCCCCAGCCGCCCATCTGAGGCATTGTGGGTCTGCGGATATGTATGGGAACTTAAAAGTACAGGACAGCTGATGTGTCACCTTTCACTTGGGTATGTGGCACCAGGTCATGTGGGGGTTTCCACAGATCACCTGCCCATTCCCCCCAAAGTAGCAAGCACAGGTGCTTTTTTTGAGGGGTATAATTGCACCCCCTACTGGTCAAATGAAAAAATACTGTTTCAGCATAGTGAAGTCAGTAAAATTGTGTTGTAAAGTTGTATTTGAAATTGAGGACAAGTGGATATAGAAAAGGAGATGGGGGTTGTTCCAGTCATATCAATGTGTAATAATGATTTAAAATAAATATATTCACTAGGGGTGGCATGGTGGTGCAGTGGTTAGCATGGTTCGAGTCTCTGCCTGGGTTACATGTGTGTGGAGTTTGCATGTTCTCCCCGTGTCGTTGTGGGGTTTCCTCCGGGCACTCCGGTTTCCTCCACAGTCCAAAAGACATGCTGAGGCTAAGAGGAGTTACTAAATTGTCCATAGGTGTGCATGTGTGAGTGTGCCCTGCGATGGGCTGGCCCCCCGTCCTGGGTTGTTCCCTGCCTTGTGCCCGTAGCTTCCGGGATAGGCTCTGGACCCCCTGTGACCCAGAAGGATAAGTGGTTTGGAAAATGGATGGATATATTTAGTATATTTTTTGTTACAAATTTATTTATCTGAATGACTGCTTGGGCTCTCTCACATTGGACCCACTGGGAGAAATGCCTAGAGTTGCCCGTGGCACCAAGCACATCAACTCTTCCCTGTCTCCCTAAAAAGTACAAAATACACAAAGGTTTTCTTCATCTAGTCCTGCCGCAAACAGTAATCCGCAAAGTGGTGTCATTTCACTTTTTCTATGAGATATAATATGGCTCAGTGGGCAGCAGAGCAGCCTCACAGCTCTGTGTGTGTGTGTATCTGTCTGTGTCTGTATATCTCTCTTTGTGTGTGTCTGTTTGTGTGTGTGTCTATATATCTTCCTGTGTCTGTGTGTGTTTGTGTGTTTTCTCATAATCGAAAAGTCCACAATTTAGGTTGGTGTTCCTAAATTTCCCATAGTGCATGTGCAAGTGTGTGCACTGTAATGGTTTAACACCAAGATGGGCTTCCTCTTTGTGAAGCGTGAGCGCCCTCTCTGGCCACAGGGTTCCAACTACCTGTTGGGTACCAAAGACCAAGGGAAGTATGTTGCCTTTCTGGCCCTTTTCCTTTTCATCACCTCACTACTTGGGCCCATTTGTCTAACCTCAACTTATTCTGTCTGTCAAACAAACAAATGGTTTTATTTGGCATTTCAAAGTTTATTGGAGTGAAAGACAATTGCAGTCATGGTATCTTTAAACTACCTCTAGTGGCAATAGATATTTTGGGCCTCATGAAAGCATGTCATATAGGGCCCCCAACCCAGACCAACCCAAATATGTTCCCAGCATCTAGTAGGGCCCCTGTCACTGTGGAAGTGGTGTGTCCTTTTGCAGCGCCCCCCAGTGTGTGTACCTGGTAATACACATCCCATTCACTGTCCATCTGACTTTTGCCATGTCCTTTTGTGGGATAGGCTCCAGGCCACAACTATATACCGGACAGGCAGGTGGACGTTGGATGGGTAATCCCAGATTCCATGAGATTGCGGCTATATTTTTAGCATTCTAATTATGGATGCTAAGTTACTATGTTATTATATTGACAACTAAGCTCAGTAGCTGTATTAAAGTATTTCCTCTCATTATCAAGGGAGGGGATTAATTATGTTTTCAAAGACAACGGGTAATTAACCTGTCCTTGTGTTGTCTTGTCTTCATTTCATTTTATTGGCAAAAAAAACTGTTTATATTTTTAGTCCTGTGCTACCAGGGAATGGCATAAGAACCAATGAAAGGATGAGTGGGATTCCTGTTGAAGCCCTTCCTGCTTTTTAACGCGTAATGGTGTAATATCTAATGAAAATGATGAGGGGTGTTCCTGTCGAAGGGCATTGCTGTTTTTACGGGAATGCCCCTTGCTGCAATTGAACTCTTTTGGCCTGTCTGGGCTATCCCTGGAAAATCTCAAAAACAACAGGCACGTTGGCTCTTGTATGTTTACATCTACAGCCCACAATCCTCAACGGGATCTCCTCCAATATGGCTTTTTCTTATATAGAACAACGAACAAAAGGCTATGAAGTCCTTATTAACTACAGTTCCATTTGCAGTGAGTCCAGGGTAACTCCCAGTGCTGACCTAAATCTAATACTGCATAACCTTTGAGGAAGATGGTTCTTAGACAGGTTTCCAAACTAGGCACAACTGACCGAACATAAAGTCAGTTAAAAGTAATAATGATAATACATTTGCGATCACCAGTGAGCATGGGAAGGGCTTGTTTGGAATTGAACAATTAATGGATGTCATGAAGAAGAAAAAACGGACAGAAAACAGCAACAGATGGCCCAACAGTCGCGGCACTTTTAAATGGGAATTATTTGTTAATTGAGTCCTACTGTGCCGGAGCAGCAGATGCACATATACCTATTTATGAGCACGGACTTTGCTGTGTGGACCACACAGCTCCGAGGTCTTGGAAATGTCAGTGGATTAGGTTTGGAATCCTTTTCAAAGCAGTTTACCAGGACGGTGCAGAGATTTTCTGAGGGGCAAGTGCTCAATGATTAAAAAGAGGACACTCAATACCTTAAAGTTCACATTAAATACTCACATTAAAACAGGCACTCACCCCCACAAACCGATTAAAATCTGAACTGGATTCGTGTTTTACTTTTAGGTTATATTTGAGTTTTTCCAAAAGCAAACAGACTAGGGGACATGATTCGTTTTGCATTACATAAACAATAGGGTAATTACCTCACAATACAGAGCTAAAGAATATTCCGGTAGATAAGTGAATACAAACACAGGGGATTCATGAGTGGATCGTATTTTATGAGCTTGTGAAGGCGGAAGACATTGGCAAGGTCATCCCTGGCTCCAAAATGTGTACTTCACATAGATCAGAGGTCTCAAACTAAAAGAATCCACTAGGGGGCCCTGTACCCAAACACAATATAGGCATAATCCGCTAGTAAACGACCTTATTAAAACTTGCAGACCAGAGAGTCCTGGCCAGTGATGCGGGAATATTACATTGTTTTTATTCTTTTCTGATATCGACGATCGGCGGGCAAGATTATTTAAAAACAGGTAGTGAGCTGGTACTCTACGACCTCAGATTTAAATTCATCTGATTAAACTTTAGTTTGGAATTCATTACCAGTTGGCAGCAGAGCCAAAATTTAACTTGTCCTTATTTTACAATGGTCTGGCCTGCCCTATTTTTCTGTAGCTAGCATGTGTGGTAACATAGATCTAAAGCGACCTATGAATCGATTACCTTATGAAATGCATTACGCACAATATATTGAAGGTTCAGAACGTCGCGGACATTAAAAGTATAATACAGTATCCGTGTATTATGTTGTCTTATCAAATATACAGTAAATAAGATGCTTACACAGGGCAATATTACTGGCAACACATATCTGCTATGCCATAAAATCCTGAAGATAGACATTTATGAGCTTAAGCTATGAGTTTGCCATTGCATCCCCCTCCCCCCACCATGAACTGCTGAAGAATATTTTCATGACATTACGTGCCCCGTCCACTGGTCAATCTCAAGAATTCATTACAGTATATGTCATGCCCAGACAGGTGACCACGCCCCCCTAGACGGTACACGGCTGTTACCAATTCAGATGTTCTTTCTCCACAGCATAAAAGCGGTCGTGCACAAGAGGGTGGTGCGAAGTATTGTTGTCATTATCACTAATGAGCCTTGCTGAGCACTATCTTGTCTCTCATTTCTCTCGCTTTCCCTGCCTGCCCCGTCTTCCTCGCCCACCTGTCCCGGATCCCTCGTCTCCCTGGTTCCTGCCTGTTCCTGCCTCTTGTCCTTTCCCATTCCCTTGTTTGGTGTGACTACTCTGCAACCTGTGGCAGGGGAACAAGGTGTCAGCTGACTTCTCTCTAGAGTTCCGAACAATCGCTGCGGGTCTACAGTGGCCTGGCGACTGCCTCAAGATCCTGTACGGAAGAACCCTAAATCCTGATCTACAAGACAAATTCACCCCAAGAGGAGGAGGTCAGGCTCTCCGTGACACTGGACAACACCGTGAGAGAACAAAGCCACCAAAGAACCAAACCGGAGATTCCACCTAGTCGTCCACCCCCCGTTAAGCCTATGCAACTGGGTCTCCTGCCACTGTCTGCCGTGGGGAGACAGCATCGGTACCAGCAGTGCCTGTGCCTGTACTGCAGAGAACCCCGGCACGTCATCCAGAACTGCCCCGTCCGTCCTCCACAACCCAGAGATTCAACTAAGGTGGGGACCTCCGTCTTGTTAGAAGTAACTCAGAAACAGGTGATGGTCCCTTTTGTTCTGCAGTGGGGTTTGGAGTGGGAGGCGGCGTATGCGCTTTTGGATTCCGGAGCCGCGGGGAACTTTATTGACCTGTCTTTTGCCCGAAGGCTTCACATCCAAACGGAGCAGCTTCCCTCTCCGGTGACAGTTTTAGGGGTCCACGGAAAGCCAACATATGCAGAACAGATAATGCATCATACCTATCCAGTTACTCTGCAAGAGATAATATCCTTTCTAATTCTTCCTTACTCACATGATCCCATGATTTTAGGACATCCCTGGCTCAGACTTCACAATCCCGAAGTGAACTGGCGTACAGGTGAACTCGCCGCTTGGTCTGATATGTTTCTCTGACTGTCTTGCCCTGCCTTGTAAGGTAACCTCTGTGGAGAACCCGGATCCAGAGGATCTCACCGTAATGCCGCCTGAGTATAGAGACTTCTTGCACGTCTTTAGCAAGTCTCGATCTTTCCAGCTTCCCCCGCACCGCTCCTGTGATTGCGCCATTGATCTCCTTGAGGGGGTGCCACTAAACAAGACCTGGCTGTTTGCCCTGTCCCGGACGGAGGAAGAAGCCATGGACACGTATGTATGAGATGGTTTGAAACAGGGAATTATTTGAGGTCTCCAGCCATGCATCGATTATCGTGCCCTGAATGCTGTGAAAATGAACGGCAAGAACCGTAACCCCTGATTCCCTCTGCACTAGAACAGCTTCGTACGGCCACCATCTTCACCAAGCTGGACCTACGGAGCACCTATAACCACATCTGCATAAAGGAGGGTGACGAATGGAAGACCTCGTTCCTGACCAGCACGGGGCAATACGAATACCAGGTCATGCCGTACGTGCTGGCTAACAGCCTGTAAATCTTCCAGTCTTTCATGTATGGGGTGTTTTGGGAAATACTAAACCGCTTTGTTATTCTTTACTTTGATGACATCCTGATCTTCTCTACCTCCTATAAGCAACATTTACGGCATGTCCGACAGGTACTGGAGAAACTACGCCAAAAGAGAAAAATGTGAGTTCCATCGCTCCAGGCGTAAGTTCCTAGGTTACCTCATTCAGCCCGGAGAGGTGGCCATGGATGAACAAAAAGTGAAAGCAGTACAAGACTGGCACCGTGAAAGAGCTACAAAGGCTTTTAGGATTTATCCATAACTTCAGTCAGGTGGCAGCTCCCCTCACACATCTCACCCGAGGACCCGCTCCACTCTCTTTTTAAAGGTTATATCTGAGTTTTTCAAAAGTAAACACACAATGGACATGACTTAATGTCCCCCTCCCTGCCCCCACCCTATTTAGAACGTTTGCCGTTCCATTGCGTAAAAATGCAGTAATACGTCACAATGCACCGCTAATAAATAACATTCTGTTTGATAAGTGGGAATCAAACACAAGCGATTCATGAGTGCATCGTGTTCTAAGAGCTGGTGAAAGTGACCGAAATTGACAATTAAGGTAAGGCCCCCCTTCAAAATGTGTACTGCACTTAGATCAAAGGTCTCAAACTAAAATAACCGCTGAGAGGTCCTTAGTCGAAAGAGAAAAACAATAAATGCATAATCTGCTAAATTACCAACTGCAAAACTTGCAGACTGGTGGGTGCCAATTGTGCGGGAATGACATTACATCATTTTAACTTTTCTCTGGTGCCGGTGATTGGCCGGCTAGATTCAGTACTGGCTTTGAGACCCCTTATTTTAAGCAATAATGCTCTCACAATGATGCTGGCCTATGCTTTGGAGTGTAATATCAGATGGCTACAAAGCCGAAATTAAGTTGTTTTCACCCTTACAGTGGTCTGGCCTGCCACATTTTTCTGCAGCCAGCATTGGTGATCAGTTTTAATGTTTTGTGTGTGTGTGTGTGTGTGTACTTCATAGCCTATATATATAGCACAGCATTGCTTTCTCACTGTAGAAGTCCATTGCTCAGTTGTCAGCATGGTCAGCGTGTCACCTGAGATGTGTCCTGCACAGCCGTAGGCTAAATTGCTGTTAATGGACTAATACTTCTTCCACCCATAAAATAATTCTTTTCTCTCTCTCTCTCCTTGGCAGTGATGGCACTCTCTTACTGTTTCCCCAATTTCCTCATCCTGTCCCTGGTGAGGGGCACCTTTTCATTTCACGAGGCTTCTCCTCATGGCTGTGGCTCCCTTCTGACAAGGCCCTACATGGCCTTGTGTGAGTTGGATGCAGTGTGGGGCTTGGTGGTGGCCCTAGCCTCGCTGATCCTGGTCCTGGTGATCCTACGTCACCGCAGCAGGGTGTGCGACTGCACCGGATGGGGCCAGGATGACCTTCTGCCTGTATGGCAACGCAGCGCTTGGCCTGTCCTCCACATGGGACGCCCCGGGTGCAAGCAGTGGTGCTGGTGACGCAAGCATGGCTGCTGCAGGCGGCTCCAGAGGTCCACGCCACCTTACGGTCCCCACCCCATAAGAGAGAGGCCAGTTTGGAGGAGGGCCTTTCCCATCAGTAGTTTGGAGCAAACCGCGGCTTCACGTTCAATGACAACAACTCAGGTATGGTACTTTCTTTTTGCTGCTTTGACCTTCTCTTTTACTGTGTGTGTATTTGGGAGAGAGCATAGCCCTCACTCTTTTCTCCCACGCTCACATGGAGCCCCTACTGGAAGTCTGCGGAACAGCAACATGTAAACAAGGCCCAGCCCTCCCTTCCACAGCAGGGTCGACCAGCCAACAAAGATCTTGGTTGTGCACAAGGGAGCAGAGTGCAACTCCCAGTTCAGCACCTCACACACACTGAGGCAACCCAAACATTGAACTGAAAATATGTTTTTGGTCTATGGACCTTTCCCTGTAACTCAGCTCAGAGCTCAGGTACCATGACTGCACGTGCCCCCCCCCCCACCCAACAATCCCAATAAAAAATGTCAAGTATGACTACTGCACTGCTGAAGGATGTTTACATGATCAATATCTGTCTCTCTCCCACAGCTGCCCTACACAGCCCCCAGGAATCATTCCATTTTAAATAAATCTCTATATATTTATATATATATAAAATCATCATCATCTCTGGAAGTAGTGTGTTTTTTAGGGTTAAAAAGTTGAGAAACTTTTAATGGTGATCATCATACCATACATTAGCAGCCCAGCCACTGGTCAGTTCCTTCACTGTACTGTTACAGAGTTTCATGAAAACATTTTTAAAATGTGGGTGTTTTACCTTATGAAGGATATAAAGTAGAATCTAATATAAACATTATATTACTCATATAAAGACACACATCTAAAGGTTCTGTGCTCCTGGTATATATGCTCTTGGTATATATCAAACACATTAAAGCCAAAGCGGATGCATGAGCATGTGCTCATGTCTTTTTAATGAAAATTCAACAGAAACTGAATTATTTGAACATTTCTAGTGTATTACTAAAGGCAAAAGAAGAAGCAATAATTTGCATATATCAGTTTCATAAATGGATTATAGACTTAAATATAAGAGAACAATATGAACATTTTCATAAATTAATCCTACTCAACAGAACCACTTTAAGCAGACATAAATGACAGAAATGGAGCTATTTTTGACAGCAGTTGTGGCCCTTTGCCAGAACAATGAACAACGGCATCCACTCTCCTCCATGGTATTGCTGCGGCCAGAACCTTACATGCGCCACCTGCTGGGGTCATAGGTGAGCACCAGGTTTCTTTCCCAACTACTGCTGCTGCTGCTGCTTTTTCTCCATGAAGAACTAGGGATCAGGATACGAGGTATTAAATTCTACAAGACACCCTCCTGAAGGAATGGTATTCCTGCACATTAGGGTGGGGTGAAAAAATCAGAATTTCCAATAGCAAGTTCCAATAGTGCGGAAAAGTTGTCACTGGACCTTGTTATTAAACGTGCAAAATATCTTTGAAATAGGTTAATATTTTCAGATTCCGCAACACTATCGAAGTTTTCATTGAATTTCCGCACTATTGGAAATTGCTATTGGACATTTTGTGTTTTTTCACCGCACCCTAATGCACATGCATTAATCGGCTTGCTTGAGAAGCACGACCTGGCAACATTTACAGGCTCGCTTGTGGAGTGCAGGTCTGCTTTCCCCGCAAAGCCAGTGTGCCTCGACAGACCAAACCGTTTACTGAGACCAAAGCATTTGTGGGGCATAGCAGGAAGTCTCCCCTCATGGAAAAAAACAGGATGGTGATTTCAGGCAAATAAATCTATCATCAACAAAGCAGAGCAGAACTTTACCCAGTCTGGGTCACTTTTTCATCAAGTTCTGCTCAGCTGAACACAGAACAGGACAATTACAGAATAAGGTTCCCATTCTTAAGCTTTATGAACTACTATCTAATATATATTACTGAATTCCCGCCTCTCCTCTAACAGGCAGTAGCAAATACATTTACATTTAACAGAAGCTTCTGTCCAAAGCGATGTACAGATGAGAATCAGAGCAGGGATAGGTATAGGGTTCAACGACCTTGCTGAAGAGCAGAGCAACGGTACGATTACTGTGCCAATCATAAGATTTGAACCCACAACCTTCTGGACGCGGGCAAAAATACAAAACCCACTAGGCTGCATGCTGCTACAATACAGAGAAACCAACCAAGCAATGTCAATGCTTTGCTCATTATGTAATGTACCACATCAGGGCCAGCCTCACCTTCCTGATGCCACCAAAAGCGGGTCCAAAAGTGGGCTGGACCTGGGTGCGGTTCCTGATCCACTCCGGCAGTTTCTGGAGGGTGCCAGGCCGGGAATAGCGCCGGTCCAGCAGGACAATGCAGGCATAGTCGCCACGGTGACGGATAGCCCTTCCTGCGGAAGAAGAACAAGATGGTGGGCACCTTTCCGAATGAGCGAAGGAGAAGGGACCCAAGAGAAATGTGCCCCCTACTCATCATAGGCCTTACCAATGGACTGGTTGACAGCCTTCATGCAGAGGTTTTCAACCAGTGCCTTGCCTGGGCTCTGTCCACCCACGTGAGGCTGCAGGGAAACATTAAACAGGGGTGTGTATGCAGTGCGCACAGTCTGTTTTACTGCATTAGACTAGAGTATACTATGTGTATGCAGTGCACACGGTCTGTTTTACTGCATTAGACTAGAGTATACTATGTGTATGCAGTGCACACGGTCTGTTTTACTGCATTAGACTAGAGTATACTATGTGTATGCA